TGTCCTTCCTGGAGCTAGCACTCTTCCACTCTTCATGGCTCCCAGACAGTACATTCTACACTTATTCATCAATGGAAAAAATGTCAAAGCCCCTTTATAAATGCCAAATGAGTCTAATTATCCTCTAAGAGCTTTGTGCACCTGTGGTGAGTCATTCCCATCACTCCAGCCTTAAGCCAAAATACTCATGACAGAAAGTTTGTAACACAGTATCACACCCCTTTCTTTCCATGATGCCATGTTTAATGGTTAGAATAAATAAATGAACTGGACACCTTAGATCATATAGCACTATGGTAAAGTATTGTGGCAATAAGGGTGAAAATGAGTTAATGGTTAGGATAAGATGTTAGATGTCAAAGGTTGTAGAAAGCTATAGGATAAAATGGCAGTAAAACAGGTATTGAGGTGGAGCAAATGGAATACAGTAGGGATTCGTAAAAGGAGAAGTGGTTAAAGGTATAGGGCGATCAGATCAAATGGAAAGTATGTGTCTGAGGAAATCATAGAGTAATACAGGTAGAAATGGTAGTTGTAGAAGTAGGAGAAGAATGAGATAAGGGGAAGGTGGCAAAGTATCAGGAAGAATGTCAGGAGGGGAGGGATACAGAGATGGACATTGCTGTGACATAAGGAAGTCATGTGAGCATCCAGGTGGGAACTTGAGGAGGAGGAAGATGGATACTGGCAAATACTTTAAATGTAGAGCAGATACGAATAAAAGGATGGACAAGGATGGACAAGGATGGGAGGAAGATGGGGTGGTATGGAGAGAGGTAGTACTGTTTGGAGGAGGACAATCAAAATGAAGAGTAGTAATAAGGGGGGTGAGGATAGGCAATGAAGAAGACTGTGCAGTAGGAGATGGAGTGGAGGATGTTGGGAGAGAGGAAAGGGTGTATTCTGAAGGTTGAGTAATAACCAGCACCCCAGCCTCCATCTCCATCTCAATAATCTGACTGAGGGTCTGTGACGAGTGGCTGACATAAGCAATACATAGTTTTGCTTCATCATTTACTTTTTGCAATATCAACAGCAATAGTCACTATTGGCATGAAATTTATTACATATTCTGCCTTGTAATTTCCTGTTTATATAAATTAGCCATCCATTTTCCTGGTTGGTCTGATAATGTCATACTTCACTGAAAAAAAAATCCTATGACAATTTTTTCCTTATGAAATTTCAAAATTATATTAACAGCTTTGTGTATTGAAGGATTAAGTGTAAAGCACAATAATATTGTAATGAATATTCTAGGTTGTAAAAAGCAATAAACTTCAGGTAGTTAAACAACTGCCATATCTACCAAGACTGGCATCTGAATCAAATAAGTCTGTGATAATGAAAGTGTTAAACATACAAAACAATAATTGATGGGACCAGTTGCTACCTTCACATGCAGAAACTAATGAGAGCTGTTACAAATGGTTAAGGGGAGTGACTAGTTTGAGGGGGAGAATTGTTATTATTGATTATATTGAGATGAAAATATTATGAGAAGTCAGGATCACTATATGCATAACAATTGATCTGTAAAAGTTTTACTCTCTCCTCCCCCAGCCTCGCCTTCCCTCTCCTCCTACAGTCTTTATTGTAGTCATGTGCTACCCATGAAGGAATGGTCATTATATGGTATTTGATGTTAAAATGCCTTAAAAAAAAAAAAAGCTGAATCTATATATATATAATATATATATATATATATATATATATATATATATATATATATATATATATATATATATATATATATATATATATATATATATAAATTATTTACAATTTATCCTTATTACAAATACACAATACACGGGTATTGGCCATGGAAAGGAGTCGTGGATCTCTGGGGGGCTCCTTTCCTCTTGTCTCTTGCATCAGAAAGTTAACTCTTCCTCCTCAGCATACAGTACACACCCTCTCTTCTAAGAGTAGAGGCTTACTGTTGTGTCATCCTGGCTATCGTGAGGACCAGAACTGCTATATTTTCAAACATTTCATTGATATATGTATATTATTTCATACAAAATTAAAGTGCAAAATGGGAAAAAAAGGGGGTTTTCTTTTAGTCTATAACTTATAGCAGATATTGTAAATATAAGTGTAAAACTTCATCAGAATGTTGCTATAAGTAGTAGTTCAAGCTAGAAAATTTCCTCCCAGAGAGTGATACTTTCACCTTAACCCCTCCCCCTAACCAGATTTAGTATAAGCCACCCATAGTTAATCTGTTAAAAAGGGCACTGATAGGTTCACACTCAAGGAATGGCAACTTGTATGATTTACTCAAGCAAATTTCTAATACTACATGTGTTCTCTGAGGATGTAGATCTTATGATACGTATTTTGATTTTCACTGACTGGTTAGAGGTATGTGCATCATATTGTTTGGAAAAGCTTGTAGGTATCAAATAGTATTTATACTAAAAATACTATTAGTAATTAGAAATAATTACTAATTTTGTACAAGCTTTTTATTTCCATCAAAAATTATTGTTTACTATTTATTATAGTGATTAGCTTCCCATGAGAATGGGCTAGAGTTGTGACCACGGAGCATGTGCAGTGTGGTTGTGATATCACTGGTCAGAAGCTATTTAAATTTACTGAAATCGTGGTGTATAAACAGCATGCTTTAGCCATATACTGCCTAGCCAGGAAGCTTCACCCCTTAGGTCCCATGGTTGTTATGCAGTACATCCCAAGCATATGCCCAACTTAATGGCTACCCCTCTAGCCACCGTCTTTAAAAGAACCAAAGCAGATGGGAGATATAATTTTGCGGCAGCAAATAGAAAAAAAATCTGTACTTCACCATCAAGTTGCTTTCTGAAAACCACACACCTTTACATACATAAAAAGAAACCCTGAACTTTTCTTTGGTTCTAGAAATAACTTGATAGACTCAATATTACATAGTTATGGATAATAATACAATTAATAATATAGTAAAATCAGCACAACACTGTAAAAAAAATATTTCTTGCAAGTCTCTGGTGCTGTAAAAAATCCTGGTCATAAAAAAGTATATACTAAGAATATTATAGTAATGAACTATGTAAATAACTGTTAAAGAATATTACAGAATCTCAGGATATCAAAAGCATATGTTAAATACATATATTTGGAAAAGCAGGAACTGATAATTACAAAACAACCATTCTCACAATTGTGTAAGAATACATGAATTACTTGACATATTGCAATTATGAGCTACTTGTCCACACAGTGTAAACATGATGAGTAAATTAGAAAAATTCAGAGATCTTCTCTGTTCTCTGTTACTTTTGAATTCTGCAGAAGATGCTGCATAAAAGCACCTCAGATTTCATCAAAATAAAAAAATATCATCCACTCTTTACCATGAAAACCTGACTGTCATGCACTGAAACTATACCCAGGCTTTTATAAGAAGTAAAAATCATTGATACAAGTTTAATATTTATATACATAAATCATTTATTAAACATGTGACTTGAAGTGTGTTTCACTTAACGGCTATGCCATCAGAGCATACTAATAAAGTATTGCCTTGTAATATGTATATGCAAGAATAGTAGATTTTGGGGACACATTCTTATATAATATGCATAGAATTTTCCTTGTGTGACTGCTCCTTCAGGGAAAATCTGGCTTACAGCTGTGATGAGAGAGTCATCATAACCGAGGGGTTATAGGAACATATAGTGGTGTCTATACTAACAATTCTGTTATTGATGGATTGCCTCTGACATATACTAACCACTCAAATTTGTTTAACTCAGTGCTGACCAAAATGGTATGACAAGTGATTACAATGACCTCCATCTGTACTCTAGCAAAGGTCAACAACCTCCAGTACATATACTCTAGCAAGATGAGGCTGGTTAATTTGCCTAGAGATTTATCATGAAATAAAGAACCAATCCAAGCTGTATCTTGTTAATATATATACACACTGTGGAGGTATGCTTGCCTTTGTGGGAGTGATGTAAGTATGGATGCTGTTCCATTACTTGAAGTTTTATAGCAGCCATCAGTTGACACCTGCTCTAATGAAATCCTAAAATCATTTACTTGAAGAACAGATGTAGGTGGTTAGGCCCTCAAAATCACAAATGACATTTTTAGCATGAGGTTAATAAAATTACTTGCAGTACTTGCAGTACTGAAACTTGCCTAGTAGCTAGGAATGCAAGCTGGCAGCATACATTGGCAGTTCATCATGTTAGCACCCAGCTTGTTCAGTGCTGCACTCAGATTTAGGCACCTAATAACTTAAACTTGTGTTTTATAATAATAAAAAAGAACAAGGTCTCCCTTCACTTTATGAGCCTGTACCTAATAGTGACACCCAAAACAAATATCGCTATTCTCAGAGAAAGACAAGCTCCCTCTGATGAGCCGATGGCACATGGTATGTCATGATGTGGTGCCATCTGCGACATGGTCTATGACATCCATTGCAAGACATCAAGCCTTCTAAATAATTAATGTAGGCAACATAACTTGTCCATTGATGCCAACATTGTCAAATAGTATCAATAAAAATGTGCATTTAAAATTGTTTGCCTACATCACAATTAATGATAGTCAAGCTTCATTTCATACACAATTTGAATACTTATATGCATGGCAATATAGTAGGTAAGTTCAAAACTGTGTTTACAGTTGCAACTGGGTGAATTGTGATGTAAAAATCAATGGATGACATTGCTAGAAGGGGTTTTCTTACAGCAGTTGCCACAAATCATATCACTTATGAAAAGTGTCTTTGGTTTCCCTAATTGCTTTCATACACGGTTTACTTTTTAAGGATAGTTGGCAACTACTGCAAGTTTACCCTTGCAAGAGGTCCGAGATCTCAGCAGCACATTGCAAGTTATCAAGCCAGAGATACAATCTCTTTCTTCCAAATGGCATATCAACTACCATCACTCTAGAACTACTCCCCAAAAAATAAATCAACAAAAAATTAAAATCAACCAGCATGGAGACTTGACAAAGTCCTAAATCCTTAC